AACAAATAAAAATAAACACACAACAACCCAGAATCTATGGGACACAGTGAAAGCAGCCCTAAGAGGGAAGTTCATAGCACTACAGGCCTACCTCAAAAAGCAAGAAAAACCCTACAACTTAAAGAATTAGAAGACTCCCCTGTGAAGCTATCTGGACCAGGGTTTTGTTTGCTAGGAATTTTTTTTTTATTACTGCTTCAATTTCATCAGTTGTTATTAGCCTATTCAGGTTTTCTGATTCTTCCTGATTCAGTTTTGCATGATCTCACTCATATGCGGAATCTAATAAACAAATAGACTGAGGAACAAAATAGATCCAGAGACACAGAAGCATCATCAGACTGATGAACCTCAGTAGAAAGGCGGGGGTGGGGGAGTGGGTGGGAGAAATTAATCAAAGAACTTATATGCATATATGCATAACCCCTGGACACAAGCAATAGTGTGGTGAAGGCCTGGTAGGGGGTTGGATTCAAGGTGGAGCAGATCAATGGAGAAAAAGGGGGGGATATCTGTAATACTTTCAACAATAAAGATAAATTTTTTAAAATAATAAATAAATAAAATAAAACTCTCTAAGAACAAGTGGAGATCTTTAAAGTTGCATTTTAGTACTGTAGCTCAGTTGAAGATAACTACATGGTGGAGAGAAGATAGGGAAAAAAGACTATATCAGAGTGACAACTGGTCTTTTTCATAATCCCTGAAAAGGAATTTTCCATTGGTTTTATCAAATTAATTCCCACAACTGATTCACATGTGATTGAGGAAAATGATGCCCCTCAACTGGCCGCACCCTGGCAGCTACAGTGAAGTCAGATCAGGTTGGAAGGTAATGAGAGAACTTCTTCTGCACCCTGACAGATCCATCTCCTTACACATCCAGATAATAAGGGGATGAAGATGAAAGAAATCACATCCCAAATTTATTTAGGGAGTTTCATTTACAATGACTACATAATACTGATATTGGAATGAAAATGAAAATTAAACCTTTTTACAATTTACACCATTTTACAAGTAGAGGCAGTAGTGTTAAGGCTGGACCTGCACTGTTTGTTACTATTGACACTAGGTCCAAATGAGTCGGCCCACTTTTGCTGTATGCTCAGAACACCTTGTAAGATTCAGAGTCTCATCACCTGACCATCACCACCCCCCCCAAAAAAATTTCTGAATTTAGTAAGATTTAGACTATTCCCAAACTTCCAATGAGGAAGGAATCCAGCAGGCTACCTGCACTGGGACACTCAATTCAACCGGCATCAGAGTTGTTCTCTTCCCCCTCTGAGGGGACCCTTCATGGAAGGCTAAAATTATGGCAATCTGCCAAGCCAAGAGGTCAGCTCAGTCTCCTTGGAACTATAATATCCCCAACTCCTCCCAGAGCCCCATCCTTGAAACTCCCACACAGGTGATGTCAGCCCAGCCCCTATGCAGCCTTTGAACCCCACTGCTTCTCAACCTCCCACACAGTCTTCCAACCACCACTCGCTCTGCCATGCTAAGTTTTTCTCCCTTAATTCTCATGAGCTCTTAGTAGATGAAAGGGAAAATAAACATACAAGACAATGAAAACATCAAATTTTCTAAGTCTTGCTATACGAAAGTGTGTGACCAGAGTGAAAATGATGTGACTATTTCTCACCACAAGATTCCTTTCACCCTCCACATGGTTCTTGTTGAAAAGTCAGTCTTGAGACAGAAGTGTCCTCGGGTGAGGTGGTTGACAAGGTTTGATTTTTTTTGGTCAAAATTGCTTATAATCCCTTCTCCCATGGTTCTCAAGATAAACCTTGTGGAAATGTTGCATTCATTGATAAATATGTATGGTGCACCCCAAGCAAGATACATAGTTAAATGGGACCCAATCCCTGCCCCCATTTGCCCCATTATCTCCTTTCCCGCAGCCTCCCAATTTCTCACTTGGGTAGGCAATGTGATAACCTCATGACTTCATCTCCCTTCTTCAGTCTCCCTCTTTCTCTCCAATTCACGCTTCATATTGATGTCTCAGGTTGATTTCTAAACAGCACTCTGCTCCCTGGTCAGGTTACTCCCTGTTTAAAATTTTCAGTGCCCTTGCTGTTGCCTTTAAAATAAAGTCCAAACTCCTGAGTGACAGAATAAACTAACAGTTCATCAAGTATACCACACTCTCAAATCTCCAGGCCTTTGCATAGGCTGTCCTCTCTTCCTATAATTCTGTTCTTCCTCCTTCACCTGGGGAACTCCTACTAAGGCTTCAAAACTTAGTTGAGATGTCACTATTTCCAGGAAGCTCTCCCTGACTACCAGCCCCACCCATTCTGAATTTGATGCCCCTCCTTTCCGTTTGATTAGCACTTTGCTAATACCTCTGTCATAGCAAAGATATATTGAATAATTATCTTATTTACCCACTTTCTCTCCGACTAACCTTAGAACTTGTTGTAGACAGAAACTCTACCATTTATCACTATCTTTATCTTATCTCTCCAATAGACTGTCTAGACATAATAAGTACTCATAAATTGTTTGATGAGTGAAGAAGCTCAAAGTATAGGAGGGAAGACAGAGAATCATAAGTCTCTGTATGAGGTGTGAGAAACAACAGAGTGGGGTGTAGTGATGATGACTGGACACTTCTGCTTTAGAAGAAGATAAGATCTAGGAAGGTATCCAACAGAGGAGATGTTTGGGCTGGCCTTGAGGAAGATTGGGACATCACCAGTCCCATGGGAAGGAGGAGGCAAAGAGATTGGTGGCATGTGGAAGGCCCTAAGTGCCTAAGTTTGCATGATACATTTGGGGAGATTTCCTTTAGGAGAATTGTGACAATGAGAGGACATTGATAGTAGGGTAATGGGAGATTATTGGAATAATCCAGTTAAAGGCCTGAACTAAGCTAGTTAGCAATGCAATAAAATTTGAGAACAGAGACAGATGCCAAGAAGTTGAGGAAATAGGAGCCCAGCATGACCCCCAGGTTTCTGGCTTGGGTGGATGGTGGTGGCATGAACCAGACTCAGAAATTAAGAGGAAAAACTGCTTTGGGAGAAAGTGGTAAGCCCAACCTGCTGGTGTTGAGTTGGTGTCACCCATTGGACATCCAGGTGAAGATGTTTAGTAATCAGACTTGCTGTTATAACTTCATTGGAACTTCTGTTTTACTTCTGTAATTTAATTTGGTGCCAGGAGGTTTCAGTCATGGGTAGGGACCGATGGAAGAGGAATAATTGGTCCCATTTGCCTCTGGCTTGAATATGTGGCCTCTAGCAAGCTACTCCACTTTAGGCTTTGCCTGTTGCTTTATGAGAAAGGAGACAGTTAAGGAGAAGTGAAAATAAAAAGTTGCAAATATTGGCCCTAAACAAAATTAATTTAGTCCTTTCACGATGCTTCTGTGGAATGTGAAATTCATGCCAGTGAAACCAACCTCTTCCACCACCCAAAACCATACTTCAAAGGCCACCAAGTACTACACAAAGGGGGATGTCTTTCCCTTCATTGCATTGGAATCCTTCCTCCTGGAGAACCATCTTTAGGTAACGATGTTACTTCCTTGCTACAGCAAGCATGTGCTTGTTCTTTCCTCCACTTTTTTGAGAGGTGGTTTTACTTTAGTGTCCTCTTGCCACTGTGATAGCAAATGTTCCTGTTCTTGCCCAGCCTGCAGCACCCACCTTGATAGTGTTCTCCTATGGAGAGTTTATTTGCAATTCTATTTGCACTGGGAGTTTAGACTGAGATATGCTTTGTTTAAGGGTCCCAAATAAAATAGCATTTTTGCAAAGCTACTCATTGTGCTTTTCCTGCCTAATTTGTCTTAAGTGACTTGCACTGAAATGAAACATATTTTAATTCAAAATTTCCAGACAATAATGGCGCTGTGGGAGTTACATGATGTGCTCATGGTTGAACCTCTTTTATTCCAAACATCTATTCACAAAGGCTAAATGGGAATTGCTTGTGTAGCCCAAGCATTTCTGAGAAATCAAGAGGGATTGGTATTCAACCAAATAGCTCTGGCAACCAGGTGTGAACATGGCAAAGATTTAGCAAGGGCACTAGTCATGTGTGGAGAATGGAAGCAAAGATTTAGCAAGGGCACTAGTCATGTGTGGAGAATAGAGGGCCTCATTTCTAATTCCAAGGACTGTGATAGAAAACTCATCATCAAACTTGAATATCAACCAACCACTATTTACAAAGAAAGCAATATCACAATAGCACCAGGGAAATTTAAATGATGCATAATAAAAATTCTCAGAAAATCCCAAAACCATTCATTTCATCCAACATGCTGAATTAGATGCTGCACTAATCCCAAAGTTGGCACTGTGTTCAATGAAAAGACCTTAAAATATTAACTTCTTGTTTCAAAGCTATGGCACCAGGTTATTTGGAATAGTAGTATCAAATCTATTCCCTAATTTTTGTTGTTGTTGTTGTTGTTAATCCTCACCTGAGGATATTTTTTCCATTGACTTTTAGAGAGAGGGGAAGGGAAGTGAAGGGGGGGAGGGGTACAGAGGGGAGGGGAGGGGAGAAATATCGATGTCTCACATTGATTGGTTGCCTCCCACACATGCCCCTACCAGGGCCGGGAATCAACCGGTAACCCAGGTACATGCCCTTGACCAGGAACCAAACCCAAGACCCTTAAGTGCAAGGGTCAACATTCTAATCACTGAGCCACACTGGCCAGGGCCCTAATTTTTAAAAAATAAAATGTTAAGTAGTTTAACTATAGCCTCTGCCATACCAGCTAGGTATAAGTGACATATCACCACAGCCTCAGTGGTCTGATATTTTAATTTCTATAAAGGTACATTAAGTTTGATGGTCAGATTCAGGATGCAGCCAGGGACTAGCATCTTCTAAGAGGCAGCAGGCTGCAAACAAATCGTTTGGATGCTTCCCGGAAACTGGTACTCTGGGTACAATGCTTATCTAACATGTTGGAAATGCAACTTGAATAGAACCTATGGGTGACTTAATGTTTTTTTAATTATCAGGTAGGAGATCAAATCATTGAAATCAATGGGGAGAGCACAAGGGACATGACACACGCCAGAGCAATAGAACTCATCAAATCTGGAGGAAGAAGAGTGAGGCTGCTGCTGAAGCGTGGGACGGGGCAGGTCCCAGAGTATGGTGCGTTTCACATTTTGACTCACCTTTTCTCTGTTTTTCCCATGTACTGTAAATGCCTATGCTTATTTATAAGACTATGTCAGTTCTCTAATTCTACCTAAATATATATTTAGCTATCAATAGATACCTATACACATATGTACATTTAAGCACAAGATATATATATGTGTGAGCTCGTTCTTTTGCTCCCTTAGTTAAGTAATGTTTAAAATAGCAAATATAGGACCATTCAGGGCATCTCTGAGTGTGCTGGGATATCCAGCCATCACTATGATACTAGAACTTTCGTAATTTGACTGATGGTCTTCTGTTCATTTGAGTTCACAGTAATTTATCAATTATTTTCTAAAATTGCTTGTGCATCATACTGTCCGATAGGATATGTAACTGGGGCCAGGGGACAAACAAGAACAAATATTCAGGATGTGAAAATGAAAGTGTAAACTTCAATTCATGCAATGATTATATTTCCTTGGCATTTAGGGATATTTAAAAAAATTCACACTCATGTTGTGAATCCACATGTTTTTGAGGAAGGCTTTAAAGTGGATTTTAATTCATAGATTTTCTTCAGAAGACTTTAATGGTGTTATTTCCCAGGAGACCATTTAAGGCACCACTGACAGCATTACTAAGAAACTGCTGGGTGGTCATTACATGACCTGAGCTGTTCTTTAATCTCACGGATGACAGACAGATAGAGAGAGAGGTATCAGGGAAGAGCAGTGTGGATCATGCCCACCCAGATTAGGGAAAAAGGGTCTAGCTGCTGACTGTAACAAGCAGTTCAAATTATTGATCTAGATAAACTGACTCTCATCTTAATTCCTCCATCCCCTTCCTTCCTCCACCAAAAAATTCAAGTAGTCCTTTTCCCTCTCTAATTATTTTTTTCCTAAATTGCCTAATAATTTACTTCCTTATTTAGCAGGACAGTATAATCCTGAGTTCAGTTGAAATATCTGAATTCAAAAGCACTTAAATACTTTGTTTCCAGGTTCTTGAACACAATCCAAAACCTACCAAAAGGGTTGGCAAGACCTCACATTAAGAGTCAGAAAGGATTCGGAAGTTTCTGTAGGGCTGGCTCTGTGCCTAAGGGAATATTTCATCCCAATCTGCCACCCTTAATGTTTGGATCTAATAAAATATTTTAAAGTATTAATATTAGCAATAAGCACAGGCCTGATCCTATTAAACAACACTGGCATTAATCCTTTAATAAAAGAATCCAAACACTTGGAATAGAATAACTTTTTGCACCCTAGAGCATTAAGTGATTCAGTAATATCAAACTGACCTGAGATTCTATCACTTCTAAAAAATACCTCATTTTAAAGGTATGTTTCACTCTATGGCAAGACCTTACTATTACCTATACTAAGGATTTTCATAGAGTTAATATTGCTCTTGTTGTTCTAGAAGGTTAGTTTTTTAAAAGTTCATCTGAACAACATGGCTATCCTGGGCTTCCTTTTCTCTTGTAGAATCACTGTTTGGTCCACACTTGCAGGGTCCACCATGCCAGCTGCTTGTCTGTATGGGTCAGTTAGGACAGTACTACTGACCAACCTGTGGCATTACCTGTAATGCATAAGCATGAAGCTTCATCAAAGAAAAAGTGAAAACATGTTTTTGAACAAGACAAAAATTCAAGGTCATGTCAAAATTATCTCATTAACTTTTAATATCATTCAAAAATGTCTAGTTAAGGTTAAATTCTAAAATTAACTAACACAGAAAGTTTGTTAAATATCTGGGCACACTTTTGAGGGACCAAAACTCTAGCAGTCTTGCATCATTTCATCTAAATATATTTGAAAATGTAACATGAAGTCTTACTTGCTGGTAATGTGAGAGCTCATCAGCTACTTTTGATGTTAGATTGACATGGATTTTGACTGTAAAATAACTTCAGCGATTGTGCCACAAAAGACCAAATTTAATAGAGTAGAGCAATTTCTTTTAGGGAAGTAAAAGAATAATCATAAACTAAGTAAACATTAGCTCTTCAGGAAACTCTAAGCTGAAAGATATATGGTTACACATGAGAAACAAGAAGGTTAGGGATCCGATGAGCATCTTTGAGGATAATGCCATCAAATGGTATCTCTGGAACATCATAGTGACAGTGAGGGGGGTGTTTCAGGGGTCCCCAAGACCACTCCGCATTCAGAGATTTGCTGAAAGGACTCCTGGGGCCCAGGATATAGTTGTCCTCATAACAATCACTTATTACTGTGATTTAGTAAGGATACACAGGGGGATCCTAAGGGGGAGAAAAATACAGGCAGACTCTAGAGGAATCCACATGCAGGCTTCCTTACCCCGCCCCCCTTCTCTCACAAAATCAGTAATAAAAATTCCAGTCTCCCCTAAGGAAAGCAGGTGTTCGGCATAAACTACATTGTTTGTACAAACAACTGAGGTACAGTCACACCCTTATCACTTAGGGAATTGTTTCTATTAGCGTAGAGGACAACTGACCAGTCATAGTTCCAGATGCCAGTCACAACCAACTTTGCCAGCAGGGTGTGTCAGGGTAGCAGTCACAGCCTGCTGGGTGAATTCTTTCCTGCACCAGGAGCGAGCCAAAGAAGTGGCCACACTCGTGGACTATACCGATGGCCCCAACGTAAAAGAAGTGCCCATAGCTAAAGAACATCTTAATTCCTCCAGCCTCAGTTAAACAGACTATACCATGAAACAGAACTTTTTGTCCAAGATAAAAATTTTATCTAAAACTGGCAAGTTTGGGGGGGGATAAAATGACAACAACAAAAACAAAAACAACAAAAATGCTTGAGTTTACCAGTAGATATAACCAAGAATGTAATCCACTTTGTCCAGATGTACCCTAATCACAGGAAAACTTATTTTCCTGTCAGCTATAAGTTTAATCCTGTGTTTGTTTTCTTTGTTTGCCTTTTAAGATCCTAAACTTGACATAAAATCCATCCTTGAAAGATTGTTAAAGGGGGTTATCAGAAACCATAGGAGACATAACCTATTAGAGAGCTGTTCAGACTTAACCCAGCCTGGGAGAGCGAACTTTGAAAATGAGGAGACTGAAGAGCAAATCTCTGGGAGGGTTTTAAGTGATATCCACCAGCTCTCCCTCTCGTACCTACAGAACTCAGAACACCTTTGAAGCAAGCCCCTTATCCAAACTTTGGTCCATGCCAAGGAAAAACCGATTTCAGTCGAGAGAAATACAAAACTCCCACTCTGTGTTCTTAAGGTGATCTGTAATAGGGAGATAAGTGCAGGGACAATTGAAAGAAAAAAATATCATGGGTAGCCTGTCAGATTGTTGACTAAACAAAATCAGTGTGAACCCAAGTGAGCTGAGGAGAGGAATAAGTATGCTGCAAATATGCCATCCATAATTACCATAAGACTAATCGTCAGGTGACACCTCCCCCAATTCAGAGGCATAAATCAACAAACGCAGCCTCGAGAGTAGTGGCCACACACTGAGGCTGCCGAGCAGCTGCAAGCAGAGTCGGAAAATGATAAAGGCTTTGAGGGAGAAGTTGTTTTTATAGTTAAGCCCTTGAACAAGAAGCTCAGGAGATAGACACTTCAACTCTACTCTCGTCCTCAGGATAAGAATTTGTTGATTATGAACTCGACAGAGAGCATAAGTTCCCCCTCCCCTGACATGCTGCTCAAAGCCTGGCAGGAATAAGGAAACTTCACTCCACCATACTGCAGAAAAATCAAAAGATGCCACATCAAAAGGAGTGTCCTCCTCAACACTGGGTGTTGCTATACGAATTACATGTAAAAAGGGTTAAGAGAAAAAAGGCATGCATCACGGTCCTAAAGCTGCAAAGGAATGTTATACAAATTAGGTCCCTGCCTTGACATGCAGGTGTCCTTCATCAGCATTCAGGGATTACAACATGAACATCCACTTGATTTATACACCGAGCCACAGAACCAGGGTCGGGTAAACAGAGGGGCCATTGGATGGAAAAATTCTTTGCACATGCAGTTCAGACCCACGCACACCTTCCCCTTGCAGTATTTGCAGTTCAAATCTGATCAAAATAAAGCAAAACAGAAATACAATTTCCAGACTCAATTGGTGGTCTAGCCTATTTATTCTCTTTAAAAGCAATGGGGCAAATCTTCATGACTAGAACGCTGAAGGGAGTCCATGAGTAAATGAGAGTCTCTAGTGGCCTTCGGAGGCCAGGCAGGGCTATAAGGACAAGCAGAATTCTCACAAAATCAATAGCCCAGCAACAACTAACACCAAATGCCCACACAAAGGGAAAGAAATAACCAATCCATGAATTAGACTTCTGCCTACACTTCCATTTTCAAAGTTAATTGTGTCTTTAATAAGATTTGATTTGATTACAGGCCTTTGGTAAATGAAATTATTTACTTTTTATAAGTAGAGTAAAACTACATTAAGTAAGTAAAGATCTGACTGAGCCAGTGACTACAGCTAAAGAAATGAAGAGGCCAAATAGTTTAGTTTAAGATCTTCCTTTAGTCAACAAATAAAATGTTTTACAATGATCATATCAGAGCACCAGACTAAGCAGTACTGGTCTCTACTTATATGGCAACAGGCAACGTTTATTTGTTTATTCTGTAAGAACATACATTGACAAAAAAAAAAAGCCCAGCCTGCGTGGCTCAGTGATTGAGCGTCAGCCTATGAACCAGGAGATCACTGTGCAATTCCAAGTCAGGGCACATGCCCAGGTTCCAGGCTCAATCCCCAGTCGGGGGTATGCAAGAGGCAGCCAATCAATGACACCTCTCTCTCATCATTGATGTTTCTGTCTCTCTCCCTCTCCCTTCTTCTCTCTGAAATCAGTAGAAACATATACATTAAAAAAAGAATATACATTGACAAGTAAAATTATAAGCATTATTATCTTGTTTACAATTATTTGTTCAATGAGTCCTTTCTTCCCTCTGATCATACAAAAATAAACTTCAGATGGTATACCCCTACCAAGTATGCCATGAGAGACAAAGCCTATCATTAATAACATTAATTAATCCTCAACTAAACCAGGATTTTCTGAGCACCTACTATGTGCAAAGCACTTTGGAGACATTGCAGGTAAGATAGTTCTGGCCCTCAGTGAGCTGACCATCTAAGAATGAGGTTTAGACAGATTGGTGACTGATTAAAAGGTCCCAAAGGATCTGCTCTAATGAAAAATATTTAAATGAGCTTTCTTAATTAATTGTATAATTTAATAAGTACTTCTAGAGTTTAAGGATCCTTGAAAAATACTTGGCTTCTTTGGTTTGTTAAGCATTTTCTTTGTAATATTTATACTAATACTTTCTACTTTTTCTGAAGAAATTGCTGAATACAAGTTAATCTCTGCTTAAACCTTGTCTGAATTATTCTAAATTCCAAGTTAGTGAGCCAAACTTTACCTACTAAATTTGCTCATCACTACTCTTCTCCTCCTGTGGCTATCAGCCTTGGGGAGCCTGGAGCACTGTAACCTCACATCCCGAGGCTTTCGTGGGGCTGTTTTGTGGGGGCTCCTATGCCCCACGATAAAAGACGAGGGGAGGGCCCCCATGCCTTCGCCTCTTCCTCCGAGACCACGTTTAGGGGAGCTTTAAGTGGTTCCATAGCCTTTGCACTAATTCACCTGTATTTTAACAGGGCAAAAGGCAGCTCGCTTCAATAATAAATTCTGAAATTTAATTTCATCTTTTGATATCCATGGCTGAGTGTATCTTCCTTTTCCATGAGAGGCCCCACAGATCATTCCAGTACACCTCTGCTGAGTCAGTCAGGGAGGAGGCTGGGCAGCCGGGCAGAACCCCTGTCCTCCTGGGCTGGAAGGCTCAGACGCTCTCTGGCATTCAGGCAACCCCAGGAGGTCCCCTAAGCATGAAACATCGGGCAGGTTCCAGTTTCCTGGAGTCAGCCTGGGGCTTCCTTAAAGGGCACGCAGCTCTGAAATTCCCTCCCCATTCCCAGCCCAAACCCCACTTACTATTTTAAGTGTTTTTAGGATGAGGTTGAAATCCCATTTCTTCATATGACTTATTTGGACACTGGGCTATAAAGATATCCCTCCTGTTTGGGTTCTCTGACATTATTTCCAACATGCATTTTTCTCTTCAAGATTATACTAAGTGACCCCCTTCCCCAAGCCCTCACATGTTAGTTATTTCAGACTCTGATAAAATATATTAGACCACATAGTAATCAAGAACTCTGCCAAGAAGAACCCATTTAGCTCTTGAGTTCCAACTTTCTTCAGTTCCCAAACACTAAAGCTGTGGTAGGAGATGATTGAATAAAGAGATATTTTTTCCAAACCCCACTGAGAAGTGCTCCCACATGCATCTTGGAAAACGTAAATATTCCAGTTCCTTCTGTAACGCATCCTGCAGAGCCATGTTTCAGGCTCTGATAAGAACACTCCCTTTTCCCCCCAACATGAAGCTAATAAGCTCTCCCGCAAGAAGGCTGATTCCATGAAAGTCCAGGGAGAAGGCAGATTTCTTTTTTCGTTGTTTGTTTTGTTGATCCTTACCCAAGGATATTTTTTCCATTGATTTTTAGAGAGAGTGGAAGGGAGGAAGGGAAAGAGGAAGGGCGGGAGGGACAGAGAGAGAGAAACATCGGTGTGAGGGAGACATCGATTGGTTGCCTCCCACACGCACCCCAAACAGGGTTGAGGATCAAGCCTGCAACCCAGGTATGTACCTTTGACCAGGAATCAAACCCGAGACCCTTCGGTGCACAGCCAGTGCTCTAACCACTGAACCACACCGGCCAGGGAGAGAAGGCAGATTTCTTAGAGGAAACACAGCTGAATTCTCT